GGCCCTGGTGACAGGGTGTTCACCATTTCCCAGTGCATCCCCTCTCTCTTGCAGGACTTGCTTCAGAGACTGAAGAGGAAGATGGGTTGGAACTGTTTCCATTTGCCCAGACAGTGAATGCTTGCTCTGCTAGGCCCTAACTGGTGGCAGGGGCTGCCTTTCAGAGAACAGGCCTGTGCGCCTGCAATAGCAGCCCAGCAGCTCCCTGCTTTGGTGTAGTTGTAACAAATTTGAGATGTGAGCATGAGGGGCAGGTGAGGACCCATCCAGTCGTCAAGGAAACATTTCATGACACAGGCTGAGACCATGATCCCTACCCAGGGCCCTGGGAGTACAGACCTAACCTTCCTCGGACATGGGAATGAGTCCAAGGCTGTAGAGAATGGGCTGCCCAGCACAGTGCTTCCTCTGTGGACTGGGCATGTGCAGGTATAAGTAAGTAAAGCCATGATGCTCCTCAGGGCTGCTGGAGCACCAGCCTCTCATCTTCTCTCCTGCATTTCTACCTTCTTAGCCCAGCTCCATTGCCAGGTGGCCCATGGGCTTCTCCAAATCACCTCTGATTGCAGGAAGCTGAGTAGGCCCTGTGAGTGGGAAGAAGTCAGACGGGGCAGGCATGGGGCAGGTGCCTTCCTGCCATCATTGAGAAGTAAGGCAAGCAGACAGCAGTGTAGGGAAAGGACGAGGAAGTGTTTGGATTAAAGCCCCCATTGAGTACAGGAGGCAGATGCACGCGACAAGAGCAATGGCCGCACTGGCCCCAAGGTTGGCTTACAGGGCCCCATAGATGGGGGCAGAAATTGTGCCTCCTCATGGATTCCATTGCAGCCACAGAAATGAACAGTAAGAGCGTTGCTGATGCTTTAGCAGCCCAGACAAAATCAATAGGCTCTGGAAATACAAGAACAGCTGACCTTTGAGATTTCTAGCAAACCTTGGCAAAGGGTGCTGTGGGGGATGGCGCTAAGGAGTACCAGTCCTGGGATCTGTGTTCTTAGTGGGTTGAGACACAGGTCCCAGGTGTCCCTCTGAGGAGCTAGTCTTATGAGCTTGCAGATTCTGGAAGGTTCAGTAGACTGAGATGCTGTCTCTATGACTGCTCTGTTGCTGTCTTAGCTCTGAACTGTTCTAGAAAAGTCTGCAGCAGCTACAGAAGGCTGTATCAGAGTCAGAGATAGGCAAATCTTCTGCAGAAATGGAAAAGGCAATCCTAGAGAAGGAGGGAGACTGGGATCTGATGCCCAGCTACTTGGGCCTGACTGGGTCCACTCTGCCTCACTTGCTGGGCCTTGTTGTGACGTCCACCTCAGGCCACCCAGCTGGAATGCACATCCTGATGGACCTCAGAGGCGCTGGCCCTTGCTCAGAGGCTGATTTCATTCTCGGTCGTCTCCTAGAATGTTGTGAGTTGTGCTGGGCATTGGGCTGCAGATGGGCAGCGGGCACCTGTCTGTGCTTTAGTAACCAGACTCTGGGAGGAGGGATGTGATGAGAAAGGAGGGGAAGAGTTATAGGCCACTTAGCATTAAGGTAAATAGTTGAGGAGAGTCCAGAGCTGACTGGCAAGAAGGATTCTGAAATCTGTGGGCCACTTGCTTGATACTTTTGCTGGGGTGACTGGCTCTCTCCTTGAGGGAGAACAGAGGCCCTGGAACCCAGGCCAAGTACCTCAGACCCCAAAAAGGCTTTCAGAATTAAGGTCTGGAGTTCAGAGTAACTGTAGGTAGCCTAGAGTCCCTCCATCTAGGTGTCCTAGTCCCCTCCACACAAGTGTCCTAGACCCCCTCCACACAGGTTTCCTAGACCCCTCTGCCCAGGTGTCCTAGTCCTCCACCCAGATGTCCTACACTCTCCACCCAGGTGTCCTGGACCCCCTCCAACCAGGTGTCCTAGACCCTCTCTACACAGGTGTCCTGGACCCCCTCCACCCAGGTGTCTTAGTCCCCTCCACTCAGGTGTCCTAAACCCCCTCCATACAGTTGTCCTAGACCCCCTCCACCCAGGTGTCCTAGACCCTCCACCTAGGTGTCCTAGACCCCTCCACCCATGTGTCCTAGACCCTCCACCCAGGTGTCCTAGACCCCTCGGCCCAGGTATCCTGGAGCACCTCCACCCAGGTGTCCTGGACCCCTCTGCCCAGGTATCCTGGAGCACCTCCACCCAGGTGTCCTGGACCCCTCGGCCCAGGTGTCATGGATTGTATTCACCCGGACAACCTGGCGTGATAGGATTCCCAGCCAGTCTGGGTTCAAGATGAACGCCCAGCTGTGCCGCTCCTCATCCTTGCCTGGTTCCTTTCGACCAAGTTACTCCATGTGCCAGCCGCCTGTCTGAGGAGTGGATTTCTAGAAGTCCAAGCAGAAGGAAAACTGGTGGGAGACAGATGGGACCAGAAAGGGGCTCAGGAACTGCCTTGGAGCTCTTTGTTGCTCTCTACAGAGGACGGAGGCACCCCACTGTAGACAGCTCACTCACCCCAGGCGCAGTGGGTAAGAGAACCATGGGGACAGGCTGTCCTCCTACAAGTGCCTACAGAGTGTGCAGATGAAGCTTCCTGGCCAGCCTCCAAGAGTTTATGCTATCCACACCAGGGTGCAGCCCACACACACTCAGAGGAAGGCTGGGCCAGTGGAGACAATGCAGTTGGGGCCACTGGTCGATTCTGACGATGCTATCTCAGCCACCTTCAGCCTGGATACCCCAAAAGGGTTGTTCTCAAAGCAGCATAAACCTCCTGGTTCAACAGGGGCCTCTGCATTTCTTTTCAACTTGTGCGTTATCCCATATGGAAGTTAGTGTTCATGGAAAGAAAGGAGCAGACAGTATGTTGTGCCCCCAGGAAGACCCTCTGAGAGATTCTATTAACCTCTGTTCCTTGAGACTATATGGGCTGTGAGTGATGAGCCACACCGACATGCAATTAACCTAGAAAGTTCATGATTTCATTTCCACGAGGATCTGCTCTTACGTTGAGTGCACTATGGGTTTAGTGGCATGAGTCTACCTTTCCAGTATCATACAGAATGGTGTCGTTGCCCCAAATCTTCTGTTCATTTATTCATCTGCTCCTCCACCTCTCATCTTTTTATTGCCTCTGTTGCTTGCCCTTTCCAGAATGTTCTGTGGCCTAAAAGGCTTCTACTTAAGACGGGCAATGCATTCTCTTCATAGCTTTGTATCCCAGCTCATCCTCTGCTTACCTGCTTGTCTGCAAAAGGATGCCAGATTCACTCTGAGTTTGGGAGGGTATGTGTGCAGAGTTTGAGGGGACACAGTCTGTCACAATTTCACCTCACAGCACCTCCAGGACAGAGCCTCGAGAGTCCTGCCCCAAGGTCACACCAGGGCAAGATGGAACCACAGTGTATCCGCTGGTGTCAAGTTCTGAAGAGAAGCAGCTTGAGCTCTGTGTGGGGCTCAAGGAGGCTTCCAAGTGTCAGGAGCTAGGAGAGAGGGAGGGCAGGACACAGAGAGAGGAGCCTAGGGGAACCCCTGGCTATGGGCATAGCATGGGAGGATCATGGTGGCCTGTGGAGGTAAATTAAGGATGGAGGTGTCTTGGCCACACAGTTCAGGTACCAGAAACCTCAGCAGGAGGGACAGGGGGTCCTCTAAACTAGATAGATGTGGTCAAATGTGGGCTTTGCTTCCCAAGGGGCAGGTGACACAATGCAGTGTCCAAGAGGAACCAAAAGGGATGACGATGGGGGCAGGGAAAAGATGAGACAGCTTTGTCTGGTTCCCACTGGTCCCATGGGTCCCTTCTGGGCTCGGAGAAGGTTCCTCTACAGCCCTGTAGGTGATACCATAGCCTCATCTAGTGTATACCCTGTAGTGTGCTTGTCCTGCCACACAGGAGAGCAGGGCGCTTGGAGTTTCCAATGTGTCCTTGACTCTGTTGGGGGTTTATTGTCAAGTCCATGGCAGGGCTGGGTTTTCCAGGTTGCAGTGTGACTGGCCAGGCTCCCAGCGCTGGTGAGCTGAGACGCTGCTAGCAGTGTGCTGGTGCTCAGCTAGGAGGGGTTATGGGGGAGCAGCTTGGCCTGTCTGTTCTGTCTTCCCACCCTGCTAGGCCACTTCCGTTCACTTCTGTCCCTGTCACGAGCTGAATGGTGACTCCTGCGTCTGTGTGACCTGACGTGAAAGCAGTCCCTCTCCAGAAGTATAGTATACAAGATAACACACTAGAGCAGGCTGGCCTGACGTTCAGTGTCTGGTGTCCCAAAGGAAGGAGCGGGACAGATAGAGACAGACAAAAGGAAGATGGTCACACAGAGATAGCAGAGACTGGAAGGACTCAACTGTAAGATGAAGACAGCATGAGCTGGAAGCTGGAAGCTGGAGGCCGGAGGTGTCTCCCTGGAGGCTCTGAGCAAGCAGGCCTGCTCTGCGTGGATTTCAGACTGCTAGTTTATGAAGCAGGGAGAGTGAGCTTCTGCTGTTGGAAGGCAGTCTGTGGTAACTTGATACAGTGGCCCATAACACTGACCCAGCTCCCTGTGAACCCAGGCTCCCAGCTCAACTATGCTTCTAGCATTCTTGCTGACTTCATCCTACCTCCTGAACCCCAGATTTACAGGTATTCCTGGGTCGGGCTCACAAGAACCTCTCAGTCCCAGCCTGCCCACAGGGCTGCTTTCTCTTGGACCTGATCAGCCTTTCCTCGTGCCCATTGTGACTCCAGGTTCTGCGGCCTGCTCTTGGGGGCACAGGCTGCTCCCCACCCCATGCTGCCTTACTGATCTCTCACCTTCACGGACTCATCCCCTGAGAGCTCCCAATTGGCTCAAGCCTTCCTGTCACCATCTACATCATGGCTGCATGTGCCCTACTCAGTTCTCAGGCTTGAGTATTACAGAAGATTGTCCCCCCTACCCAGGTCCTTGATGGCACTACATTGCCATTGTAGAAGCTGCTCAGGAACCCTGGTAGCCTCTCCCAGACTCCTTGCCAATGCCCAGCCTTGGGTACATTCTACCCTTTGCCTCCTCCCAACCTACCTCCAAGCAGCTGATGCTTGTGGCGGTCTCCCAATGTTGATGGCACTGTTGAATCCGGTCACCAAGCAGGGAGTGGAAGTCTGCAGATCTGCACGGAAGTCCACATGGTTCTGAGTGAGAGGAAAGAAAATGGAAATGCAAACCAAGAGTCAAAATGAAGACAAGAAGGGAGGGGACAAGAAAGAACTTGGGTTGGGATGTAAAAACAAAACAATAAATAAACATAAGAAAAGAGAGAGAGAGAGAGAGAGAGAGAGAGAGAGAGAGAGAGAGAGAGAGAGAGAGAGAGAGAGAGGGGGGAAGGAGTCAGAAAGAACACACCATTAAGCAGCCTCTGGTTCAGCTCCTGCCTCCAGTTTCCCACCCTGTTTGAGTTCTTGCCTTGGTTTTTTCAGCAAACTGATTTAGGATATGTAACCAAACAAACCCTCCCCTTGCCAGCAAAAAATGAGGACAAGATCCCTTCTGCCCAGTGACCTTTTGCAGTCAGGATCTCACATTGCTGCTGGGTCCCTTCCCCTGGTACCTTGCCTGGGGAGCAAATGGCTGACAGATGTATTCCCCATTCCTAGCCAGCACACAGGAGGCTTTCTGGTCCTGAAGTTGCTCTGACTGGCTCCAGACCTCAGGTCAGCTTTTATGATTCTGGGTACCACTAATCTGACTGGACCAGACCAGCTTTGCCTTCTTAGGGTTAGCGATGATTGGAGAGAGAGACAGAGGTACAGGGAAGATGTGGGACTGTCATCTGCTACTGCCCCTTAGCACTTCTACCAAGGAATAGCATCTTCCTAATGGAAACAGGTGCTCAACCTCATCCCAGCCACTGCAGAGCTTGACCTGGCCACCGTCTGACCAAGAGCCATTGTGCCTGGGAGCTTAACTGCTCCATGGGCTTCTGGAGGGCAGGGCTATGTGACACCAAGCACCTGGCCTGGGTTCCTCCATCCTCTTACACTCTCTCCATGTACACACCCCTGCTAATTGGCTCCACTTAACATCTACACACACACACACACACACACACACACACAGAGAGAGAGAGAGAGAGAGAGAGAGAGAGAGAGAGAGAGAGAGAAGCATACACACACACACACGTATGCACATGCACACGTATCTCTGACAGGACAGACAGGACACTCTGTCTACCTACAGAGAGCACCTCACCCTCTTCTCTCCCCATTTTTTCTGTATCCCAGCTCCAGATGCCTGGTTTTCCAAGGGAAGAGGATCCCCTGGAAGGCAGAGCAGCAGCCTATCCTTCCTCCTCCCTTCCTGGCTCTACTCCGCCGCCATAGTCTCCTCCCCTCTTCTGCTAGTCACACTCTGCCCCACAACTTCCCGTCTGTGACCATGATTCCTGACTCTCCGTCCATCTAAACCTGGTTCAGACCTGGGGAAAGCCCACTGATGACACACCCAAGCTTCTGCTGTGACTCTAGCCCGAGGGCCCCACTGGGCTTTTCATCAGCTGTGCTAGGCTCCTTGCTAACCTATCCCTTGTTTCTGCTTTCCCAGCCTGTGTCCCTCTGCTCGGTCCACACTTTCCCTCCTCTTCCTTGATGTATCTGTCTGACTCTCCTCACTAGCTGGCATCCCTCATCTGCCCTCCTGGCCCTGTCAGGCAAGAAAGTGGCCTCCCCCATCAGGTGCCCCTCCACATGCTCAGCCCCTCTTCTGATGGACATGGATCACCTCCTTCCTCCCGGCCCACACCTTGTGCTCTCCTTCCTGAGTTCTTATTTCTGAGCCTCCTCCAAGCCCTCTTTGATCTCTGTTACCACATGATTCCAGACCAGAGGTCAGGACTGCCTACCCAAGGCCCTCTGCACATCACACCAAATGTCCTGCTGTAGCCTTGCTGTTCTGTTTCCCGGGAACACCCCTGATCTCGCACTTCTTTCTGTCCAGCTTGCTGACACCTCTCCTGGGTGTGAAAGAGCACTTCCAGAGGCCCAGAGTCCAGATAACCTGCTAATGCTGTCTCCCCATTTCAGCCAAGACTTCCCTTATCACCAAGGGGCAGGGACAGTGGCTCTTTGTAGTGATGGGAGGGGTACTGGGGGGAGGGCTCAATGGGAGGCATCCGCAGGTGCGAGAGGCCTACAGGTACAGAAAGCTGGCGGGAGCTGTCCTCGAAGGTGGTGCTGAAGGTTCATTTTCTGCTGATCTCCAGGAGGCAGTCCCTGACCTCTGCCCCTCTTCTGCATTCAGTAGGCTTTCTTTTAACCTCAGGGGATTGTCCAAGTCAGGTGGGCATCTGGCCCCATGAGAGAGACCTCATTCTCCACAGCCAGCTCTTGGAGACACAGACTGGGAAGAAAACACCGCTATGCTTCTTACAGTCAGCTAGGGAGTTGTCCAGGTATTCTCATCAGAACGTCAACAGACGCTGCCTGTTCACAGATGGGCCCCCAATGGGTCAGCCAATTGTATGAGACGATTGTATGAAGCTTCCAGCCTTCAGCCCTACCAGTGCCAGCCAGGAAAATGAGCAGAATGTGACAGAATGGCCAGCAGCGTGTCCCCTGCCCTCCTACTGGCCAGAAGGCCTCTGTGCAAACATTTCTGAAACCCTCCATATTTCTACATATCCTTTTCACCTCAAATCCCAGCTTAGTCTAGAGCTGTGAGTTGGAGGCAACCCTCAATACCAGCAAGAATAGAGGTGGTTAAAAGCTTCCAAACCAGAGGCCTGAATGCAGTCTACTTTGCAATGAAGGCTGCATTCTGGGGTCCACGCACTTGTGTATGTCACGGGCAGGCTAGTGAGCACACATGTAAGACGTGGCTTAGACATATCAGTAAAGAGCCTCCTTGAGTCACTCATCCAAACAAGATAAAGAAGGATTTTAAGTTTCTTGATTTCCTGAAAGACCGTCACACAAGAAGACTCTTCTGGTCAGCCGCAGAATGTTTGTGTTGTCAAAAATAGAGTTGGGGAGATGTCATTCTATCCCCAAAGGGCCCAAACTTTTTGCCTCTACCAGTTGACATGAGCTACAACTGGGCAATTCTGAGCGTGGGCAGTGGGGGCGTGGGTACAGTAGCTCCGTGTCCCTTCTCTCTGTCTTCATTCCCCAACTCTGTCCCCCTTAGCCATTCATCTGGGTGATGTTGAGGGTGGCTACAAGTAAGTGGTCTCACATCTGCTCTTGCTCCTGGCCAGTCGGAGAAAGGAGAGAACAGACCTGGATGAAATCTGGTCCTTGACTACATAGAGGTAAAATCGGGTGAGAATGAATTGCTTAAGCGGTTGTGGTGAGAGATGATTTGGCTTCCAATCCTACTCTGAGAAATATGGGGCCTGTGTTCAGGGTCAACAGCCGCAGTCAGCTAGTGATGTCTGCAAGTCAGAGAGGAAGCAGTGGCACACACGCTTGTGCCAAGCAGAACTAATGTGGGCATTGTGGGTAAGGCTGGGAGAGGGCTGGAAGTATGACATTCTGAAGCTTTCACTCTCCCTAGACTCAGCTCTGAGGCCTTACACACACACACACACACACACACACACACACACACGTGTGCGCGCGCGCGCGCGCGCGCGCGCGAGAGAGAGAGAGAGAGAGAGAGAGAGAGAGAGAGAGAGGGAGAGAGAGAGACAGAGAGACAGAGACAGAGAGACAAAGAGACAGAGAGACACAGAGAGATTCCTCTGCTTGGAATACCCTATCTTTCACTGCCACTCAGTCAAGTCTTCTGCGTGGGTGACTCCTTCCATGTACCTTCTTGTCCCAGAGGCATGACACCGCCAGGCTCCCTTTCATGATCTGGTGTTGGGCCTGTCACTCAGCCTTGTAGGCCAGGATCTTTAGTGAATTTCAGCAAATGTACCAGGAGTTTGCCTCCAGCAGGGGCTCTGATCAATGGGATATATATTTTCCTGGACCCCCTCTGCCCCCCCAAAGGTGATGTCAGGTATCCCTGTCTGGGTTGGGGCCTGACAAATAGAAATTCATCTTCAGGTTCCTGCTCCAGTCCACACTAGTACCTTCTACCCCCAAGCCTCAGAAAAGGCATATCGGGTGTCCTGGATCCCATCCTTTGCCCCAGTCTGGTACTTACTCATCCCAATAGAATGCTCCCATGTTACCAGGTTCTGTTCTGTACAACTTCAGTGGTCAAATCTCTGCACTACCAGTCAGAAAAAAAAAATCACCAAGTGACTGTGTGACCTCTCATTTGGACCAATGCCCATAGCCCACAGAAGAAGGGTATGGGTGTGCACAAGGGGTTTCAGGCCATGTTGGACTCAGTGACATTTGTCTTCTGCTTCCATCTAAGGAAAGAGTGAAGGAGTCCTTGCTCTTCTCTAGGAGTATGGATGCAGGGCTGAGGCTCTCATGTTCCACTGGTTCTGCACTGAGAGGTCCCTGGGAACTGGCTCTGCACTGTGACATGGTCCCTGGAGTCTGGCTCTGTACTGTGAGGGGTTCCCTGGAGTCTGGCTCTGCACTGTGAGGTCTCAGAAGCTGCATCAAATCAGCACAAACCCTTGGGTGATTTTTAACCATTTTTAAAGCTCCAGAGGGAAGGATGCTATTAGGGGTGAAAAGATGAATCATGACCATGAATCATTTCATAGTGATCTAAGGATCAATTCAGCAAGAAGACATAACAATCTCAAATGTGCATGGGCAGAACAACAGAGCTTGGAAATAAATATGGAAAAAAGTGACAGAACCGAAAGGAGGTTTAGAAAACATACAAGAACAGTCTAGATTTCAATATCTCTTCATGATAATGTGCGGCAGTAGACAAAAGCTGAGTCAGGACAGAAGGGACGTGAGTGGCAGAAGCACCTGGTGCGGACTCATTGACACACTTGCTCGGAGCCTCAGCCAGTGGTGCCGGGGACAAAATCCAGTGCCTCGTGCATGCTAGGCAGGTGGTCTACTGATGAGCCACACACCCCCAGTCCCCCACTGGAGGGTTCTAGGGAGGTGTTCTACTGCTGATTTATGCCTCCCAGCCCCCCACTGGTGGGTTCTAGGAAGGTGCTCTACTGTGAGCCACGCCCCCAGCCCCCCACAGGTGGATTCTGGGCAGGTGCTCTACTGCTGAGTCCCATCACCATTCCCTCCCTGATCAGTAGGTTCTATGTCAACAT